AGGCCAAGTCCTGTTGAAATTAAACCAGGAGACTGAGCAAAATAGTTAACAGAACAGGCCCGAGGCTGCTATCCTTACAAAGATCTGCCTGCATGGTTGGTCCTTGGTTGGCATTTAGGAACTTCGATTTCAGGAGGATTATTGTTCCCAGAACTGCACTGTACCTCAGCTGTTTGTATAAGCAATGTGCTCTGTCTGAACATCTGATTTCCGCCTGGGAGTCTGGAATTCCATTCCAGACAGAGGATGCCTATGTGGCTAGCCCCGAATAGAAGCCCTGGGCATTGACTCTCCAATGAGCTTTCCTGGGACAACATTTTACACGTGTTGTCACAGTTTGTTGCTAGAGGAATTAAGCTCATCCTGTGTGACTCAGCTGGGAGAGGACGCTTGGAAGCTTGTGCCTGGTTTCCTCCAGACTTTGCCCCTTTTCCCTTTGCTGGTTTTGCTTTGTGTCCTTTCGCTGTAATAAATCATCTCATGAGTCTGATCACATGCTGAGTGCTGTGAGTCCTCCTAGTGAATCGCTGAACCTGAAGGTGGTCTCAGGGGACCTCAGACAGGAGATAAGCCTGGATTTCAGAGAGACCATAATCCTATACCAATCTCTTATAAATATATAGCCTAAACCAGCGCTGTTCAACAGACATATAACATCAGTTGTGTATTTAATTTTAAAATTTCTAGCAGTCACATTTAAAAAAATTTTTTTTTATTTTTTTATTTTTTTATCCTCACCCGAGGACATTTTTCCATTTTTTGTACAGATAGAGTGGGAGGGAGAAAGAGAGAGAGAGAGAGAGAGAGAGAGAAACATCGACGTGAAAGAGACACATCGATGGCTGCTATCCACATGACCAACCAGGGCCGGGGACAAACTGCAACTGAGGTACGTGCCCTTAGCGGGAACCAAACCTGGGTCTCTCCAGACCACAGGCTGACGCTCTAACCGCTGAGCCAAACCGGCTAGGGCTAAAAAAAATTTTTTTAGTGATATTAATTTTAAGAATAATATTTTCTTTAACCCAATATATAAATATTAACATTTCAATGTATAATGATATAAAGATTTATTGAGATGTTTTTACATTCTTTTTTTCATACTAAGTCTTCAAAAGCCAGTGTGTATTTTACAGTGATAGCACATCTCAAGTTGGACACATACCAAGTGCTCCCTAGCCACACTCACCTAGTGGCTTAGAGATTAATGACAAGGGCTCTGGAGACAGGACATCCGGGTCAGAATCCTGGTTCTGCTACCTACCAACTGCATGACCTTAAGCAAATTACTTAACTTCTCCATGTATTCATTTCCTCATCTGTAAAACAGCGATGATAATGTTAGCTCCTTCATAGGGCTGCAGAGATTTTTCCAAAAGTGCACAAATCTAAGGCAGTGCCTGATACATACAGGATGTTGGGGGGATGCTGGCCGTTACTATCCAAAAGCCTGGCCCTTGAGATCAACCTGTCTGACTCCTCCTTCCATAGATGAGGAAACAGGCTCGGAGTTTGGAAGGCCCTGGTTTCCAAAGTCCTGGTAGACTCCCTCTCTCCTGGCTGGATCTGATCTAGGATCCACCACTTACTCAGAAAACCAGCACCTGGCCCTACCTGGCTTCTGCAATCCCGTTTTGATTGCAAAACAGACCCACCATTTGAAGTTGGCACTGAAGTGATGGGGGCTGGGCCTCCTTGCAGCTGCCTCCATCTGGACCCATTAGTTGGGCTGGCTGACCCCATCACTGAGTCCAGCACTTACTCAGCAATGGCCGGGCTGACTTCCACTGTTTTGGCTTTTACACCCTTTATTGTTTATTAACTCATGTTTTATCTTCCCTGAAGACACAGAGCATCAGCATTTCTTCTTCTTCTTCTTTTAATCTTTACCTGAAGATATGTTTAGAGAGAGGAAGAGAGAGAGAAACATCGACCAGTTGCCTCCCGTATGTGCCCTGACCAGAGATTGAACCTGCAACCTTTTGGTGCACAGGACTATGCTCCAGTCAACTGAGCCACTCATTCAGGGCCATCAGCACTTTAAAAACAAAAAATCTCCTTTTAACTCATCTGCAGTCCCCGTTCATCCACCAAGCAGATATCTGGTTAGGTAGTAAGCTCCCTGTATATGTCTCAAAAAAAGAGGGTGAAGAAGTACTGGGTGCCCATGTGTCTGGGACCTAGTACTTTCTCAGGTTGGAAGAAAAACTGGCTTATAGCATCTGTTTCCACCCTTCCTTTTCCAAAACTCAATGCAAATCTTCTCTTCTGATAAACTCACACTCAGCATTAACCAGCAGGGCTGGAGTCTTACTGGCAGCTGAAATCAGACCAGTTTTGTGGGCTCAAACTTGTTAGCATGCGCTGACCTGAAGCTCTGCTTATTCTTTATGCCAAATAGTATTTTATTTATTTAATAGATTTTTATTGAGCATCTACTATGTATTAAGCCCTGTGAAAAGTGCTGGGAATTAAGCTTTTGTGGATCTTATGATTTAGCATAGAAAACAGACAAACAAGAAATGACAAGGAAGTACCACAAAGGGTAGATGTAGAAAGTGTCAAGTGCTCTAGAAACTGTTAGGGGCGCTGAACTATATATAATAAGAGGACCATATAAGCGGACCTGAACAAAACTCTTTCCCTAAGAAGTGACATTGAAGTTGAGACTTGAAAAACAGTAGGAGAGAAGCAGTAAAGAGAGGCGGTGGAGTGCTTCGGGCAGAGGGGCAGCATGGACAAACCGTGGGGTGAGAGAGGACGGCGCGGTGGGAGAGATCCACTGGAGTCCAGCGCAGCTGGGATGGACAGAGTAAGGGCCATGTGGCGAAAGACTCGGAGGAGGTGGCTGGACTTTGAGGACATTCATTGTTTGAAGCACTAAGGAATTTGGACTTTAACCTGAGGGTAAGACGAAACAGCCTGGTAGAGAATTAACATCTTTCAAAACATAGGCTTCCTGGAAACAAATCACCAAAATGTACTTAAGAAGCTGAAGCTGGGAAGACTGGGGAGGGCTGTTTTCCTTCTTGTCCTCACGCTCTTTGGACTGAGGCTCACGCCTCCTTTGAAAGGAGTCTGCAGCCTGGAGGCCTCCTCAGTGCCAGGCCCTACTCCCCGACCTCCCATCCACTGTCCCAAAATCAGGACTCCTGAGTCTGGTGCAGCACAGGACTTCCTTAGACCCTTGGAGCTATAGGGCCACAGAGAACACCCCTGAGACCTTGGTGAGGCCAGAGAAGGAAAGTAACTTGTCTTTGGCCCCACAGCAAGCCTCAGGCCTCTGAGGCCTTCTCGTTTCTCCCAAAGAAACTGAACAGCAGGGCTGGGACTAGGGTGAGGCAACACAGGATGCAAAATGTAGGGAGGCCCACACTCGGGTGCCAGCTCTGCACTTGCATGACCCTAGGTGCCGCTTGCCTCATCCCAGTCCTTGCTCTACTGGACACACCTTGAGGGCAGGGATTACAACTTCCAGAAAACTCTTTCACATTTCTCATGGTGTTAACATGATGCTGGGCACACATTTGGAGAGTCACTAGATACCTACTGATGCTAATGAACAATGAATTTGACAAACTGATAGGTATACAAGATTTGTACCTCTGGGTATATATGACCATAAAAAGACAACAGAACAACGTGAAGAGGGCCTGAGACTAGAGTTTAGGCGCCTGGATTCTGGTCTCCCCTCTGCCACCTATTAGCTATGGGAGCTTGGGTAAATTGTTCCCCATCTCCAGGCTTCAGGGAAATGAGGGGGTTGAATAAATCACATTTATTGAGCACATATTCTGTGTTCAAGTGTTTCTGTGCTTCAACTCACTTAAAGACTTCCTGACATTCAAGGTTCCCTTCATTTCAACAACAGGCTGTGGTTTGAGGTAAGCAAGGCTTCATGAGACTGTGGAACTTGAGCCAGACCTTCCAGGTCCCCACAGGAACACAGTGTCTTAAATCATAATAAAAACATGCTATGTCAAGGCACTTCTCCATCAGAAGACGGAGAATCACCTGCCTCAGAGTCACTTTTGGAAACTGTCTGAAGGCAGATTCTCAGCCTCTGCCCCTGAGCTTCTAAGGCAGTGATTCTGAAGAGGGGCCCAGGAACCCGCATCACAAGCTTTTCAGGTAGTCAGATTTGGAGAGCACATTCCCCTATCTGTGGACAGAATCAAACCCAGACAGCCCAGACCTAGATCTGCCTGACCCGACCACCACTATCTCCAAGCAAAGACATGAATTCATTGATTAATGAGCAAACATGAAGCTCCTGTGTTCCAGGCCCTGTGCCAGGTGGTGATGATGGTCCCTACTCTCCAGGGATTCCTAGCCTGTCACTTATTTTAGAAGCAAGGCATCTAGCCAGAACTATCAGGACCTTAGAGATGATCAGCCAAACCCATTACACACATGGGGAAACCGAGGCCCCGAGAAGGAAAGCAACTTGTTCAACACCACACGGGGAGCAAAGGTATTTCCCGCTCGCCAAGCGGCTGAGGTATCCCAGAGTTCTACCCAGGACGGGGCTGCATTCAAACTCCGAGGGCACCCACAGTCCGCTTCTTAAACATTAAACATGCGCAGAGTAAACGCTCCCAGAAGTCTAACTTCAGATCTTGCTGACATTTTAAGTCCTCGACGCTCCTTCCAGGGAACGGGGCCGCGGGAAGCGGGAACACAATGGGTGCGGAGCAAGAACCGCTCCGAGGACCGAGCCTTCCGGCCGTTCTTCGGGCTCCCTGAGCCCTCTGCCCGCTGTGCTGGGGGCCGTGCTGCCTCCGCCCGCCCTTTGGAGCCCGAGGACGGGCCGCTCCGGCTCGCGAGGACCTGGCTCCCACCTCGCCCAGACTTGCTGACGTCACTGTGCCCCGAGCCCGGGGAGGGGGAGAAGCGGGTAAATCGTGCCCGCCCCTGCAATGCCAGGCGCCCTGCGATTGGCTGCAAGGATTCCGGGCCGGCCGCGGATTGGTCCTCGCTGAGGGCTGAAAGGTGGCCGAGCGCACTGGCCCCTGCACACGGACTGGACGGTGGTCCGGGACCCGCCTCTCCGGCGAGCCGAGACCCCCGCAGCCCGCCATGGCCCGGCTGCTCCGGGCATCCTGCCTCTTCTCGCTGCTCCTGGCCGGCCTCGTCCCGCCGGGCCGGGGGCAGGAGAAGTCGAAGGTGAGTGAGCCTCCGCGGCGGGGCCGGAACGCGCGTCGCCCCCAGGTGTCCATCTCGCGGTGGCGAGGCACCCTCATCCCGGGCTCCCCCCCGGAAGGGGTGGGAGGCACGCCCTTAACTCCGGGTGCCCCCTCTCCTGTGCCGGGACCCCACGCCCAGAGGATCGGTTCCATCTGTGGGAGCCCTGGGAGCCCTGGGTGGGCAGAGAGGAGAGGAGAGGAAAGTCCTGCGTCCGAGTTCGCGATTTCTCCCCGTGGCTTCCTCAGGGTCGCCTCGCCACACCCATGCCACCTCCGGACCCGAGCCGCTCCCCTCCAGTGGGGCCCGAGGGGGTGCAGTCACGGAAAAAGGCCTAGAGCCGGGGAACCTGGTTGGTGGTGGAGATTCCTGGGGAGACTGACAAGCCCGAAGGAAAGGGGGGAGAACTGCAGCTGGGTGGTCCCCTGTTCTGAAGAATTGCCTCGGGGGATCTTCTAGCCCAAGAATAAACGCAGGTCGAAATGCACTTGGATTTGGGGCCCTGGGAGAAGAGGCAGAGGTCTGTGGACTGGCAGCCCAACACCCAGGACCCTGACGAGATCCCTACTCTTCTCCATCTGCAGGAGGGAGGGCGGGGGCAGTGGAATAGGGGCAAAATGAAGCTGATTTCAGAAGGGATGCAAAATCCACACACTGTTCTCTGGAGTGTTTCCTGCCCTGGGGCAGCCTCCCAACCCACCACCCACTGCCCTATTGGCCTGAGCACACCTGGCAGTTGGAGCAGGCTGGGGTCTGCCAGCTCAGTAGGAGAGGCAGAACTCTGAGCCTCAGTCTGTCCCCAGCTGGCTGCGACCCTTAGCTAGAGTGGGGATGCTGAGGCCAGGATGACTTAGCGTGCCTATCTCCTTGGGTTGTGTATGCCCAGGTGGGCCGGGTAGACTCTCCTCTTCCCCAGGGCAGGGAGACAAGCCAGGCATAGGTCCAGCCCCCCAACACACACACACACACACACACACACACACCACCTTGTGTAAACTCAAGAGAAGCTTTGAGCCTCTGTGTTTCTAAAATCTTCAGGTCTTTATTCTAAGATCTTAAGAGTCTATGATTCTGTTTCCAAAATTCTATCCACTGCTCCAAAAGCCCATTCCAAGCACAGGGTTCCTTCTGCCTCTTTCTATCCCCTGTCCTGTCCTCAGCCTAAATCCTATCCAGTGTGTCCCTCCTTGAAGCAGCAGAGACTAGAGCCACTTCCTCCAAGCCTCCTCCTTGGTATCCAGTCCTGTTCATAATCTCCAACTCAAAAGGCATTTTCCAGGGCAGGGATGGAACTGATTTCAAGATTAGCATATGGAGTGGAGGTAGGGGCAGACCACGGGCAGGCCAACACCTTGGAGTCGGTCCTATATCCTCAGTTTGGGGAGAGCCAGAGAAGGGCAGATTGGGCCCTGCCTCAGGAAGGCTGGAGGTAAGAAAGAGCATGAATCCCATACATAATTCATCATAGCTGTGTGTTCTCAGCAGAATTCTGAGGTGGAATAGATGGATTCAGAGAGAACAGGATGGGTATGGTCTAAAAAAGTCTTAGGGTGAGGTATGATCATATCAGATGTTACTAGCTAGGACTTGCTGGCTAATAACAGTTTGGGCATGTCCACCTCTCCTCCCAGGTCCTTAGAGAGTTGTGATGTCATAACCTTGGTTCTAGGACTCAAACACTTAACCTTATCCCCACTCCAGGGCCAACAGGTGGGGCAGGGTGCATGTGGAGAGTGGGATGGACCAAAGGTTATAGCCTCAGGGAGATATTTGTCTCCTCCCAATTCAAAGGGATGGGCTAGAGAACCAAGGGAACCCCCCTTTCCTTGCTGTGTCCCCTCTCCTGTCCAGCTTAAGGCTGCCCGGGCTCCCTGTCCTTGCTTTACAAAAGGACTGCGCAGAAGCCGGAGAGAGTAACAACTGCTGACGTGCACAGGATCCTAGTAACCGCTGGTTTCTAGGTGACTAAATCAGGCAGAGAGAATCATGGGACCACAAGCTGACGCAGCTGAAGGGCCCTTATGGCAGCACTGCATCTGACCCCATCTCACACTGGCCACAGCGCCAGAGGCACGGCCTCCTGCGCCCGTCCAGGTGCCCTTTCACAGCGTCACACTGATGAGAGTGGTGAGACGGGAGAGGAGAAAGACACACGCCGGCAGCCCAAGCCAGCGGTGGGGTCCCCACCCCCCTCCACTCTCAAGCCATCAGAACTCTCCCATCTTGTCCAAGTGGGAGGATGGGGCATGCTCACTGCCGCTCCCCTTGTCTTCGCTGGCCTCCCTGTTTGAGGAGGGGGCTCCTGGGAGAACTGGGCTGTAATGCCCAGTGGTGAGTGCCAGCCATGGCTTCCCCGACCTTGGCCACCCTCTGACCCCCTCTGACCTCACTGGCCCCTCCTGGAGACACCCTGCTAGTAGCTGGGGAATGTCAAAGGCCTCTTCACAACAATGTGGGTACAGCGGGGCCCTTTACCTAGCTGCAGGTGGAATAATCACTATCCCTGGATATGGAGATTTCTTCCTGAGAGGTTTTCAAGACAGTTTCTGCCATCAGATTCTCACAGTCATTTTGGGAGGCTCAGAGAGTGAAAGTGACTTGCCCAGTGCTGCACAGCCAGCAAAGACTAAAGCCTAATGAGAGGAGATGCCCCGTGCCCCACCCCCACCCTGAAACTGTGCCCAGAACTTGATCCTCCTGTTGTTTACAAGCTTTCATTATTTGGACAACCTCTTGCCTTTTTTTTTCTCTCCATTTCCCAGAGTTTTCGGATTAGGGCGGAGTGGACAGGCGTGCAGGGAGGACTTGCCTCCTGGCTGCTGGACCTCTGTGGCCCGTGGGGTGTGTTTGTTGTGCCCTCAGTTGTTTGTCAGATTTGCAATGGAACTGATCCCAGCTAGGGCCAAGGAGGCCTGGGGCTGGAGGAATGTTGAGCTTAGGTCTAAGGCCTGCCTTTGGCACCCACCAAGTCATGGGGCATGGGATACTAGACTCAGGTAAAGCAAGGATTAGCACCGAAGCCAAGAGAGCTTGTGGTTGTCAGGGAACGAGGGACCCAGCCTCACCTGGCTCAGCAGGCCTGTGGCATCTTCAAGACAGAGGTGGCTTTTCTTCTCCCTCCTGCAGCCACACCCTGCCCAGCCCAGATGGCTCCCTTCACCCTTCACCGAGATACCTCACCTCAACAGCAAGTCTTCCAGGATTGATGGGAAGAGAGGGTGTGGACTTGCTTCTCAACTTCAATCCCTGTCTCTGTCTCTCCTGGTCTATAACGCTGGTTTGTTTGTCTTTCCACTTCTCATAGCTAGTCAGGGCCGGAAAGCACTATAGACAGTACCCGATACAACAGTGGCATGCTCTTCTCCTTCCCATCACGACCAGCCCACCTGCTGTTGTGTTAGTGATGCTGTGACATCCTTTGAAGAGTAGACCCAGGTTTTTGTAATCTGGGCCCGAGACGAGGGAGGGGCAGAGTGGAGTCAATGCCATCTCCTGCTTGCTAGCAGTATTCCTACTGATAGGATGCTGTCAAGCCATCACAGTTGAGAACAGCTGATCCAGTTCAAGGTTCTCGTGTCATAAAAGAGGAAACAGGCCCAGAGAAGAGAAAGGGCCAGTCCAGCACCACACAGGAGTTAGTGGCAGAGCTGGATGTGGAATCCAGGTTCCCCGCTCACAGTTCATAGTAACCCGTCCCTACTTGTCCTGGAGGTTGACTGTGGAGCAGAGGTTGGGCAGAGAGGAAGGCACAAGGATCATCGTCACAACTGCTCCTTTACAGGGAACATCTGGAGTTACATGCGAGGTCCTGTTCTTTACCCTTCATCCCCTTCATCCTCCATGCCTGGCTCCCGCTCCTGTGTCCCTACTTTATAACAACAGCCTCACTTTTCCAATCCTCCAGGTTTGGAACCTCTGAATCACCACTCTCTGCACTATTGCTTCCTTCTTTCTGCTCAGCTCTTCCTTTACAATGGTCTAGTTCAGGCCCTCATCATCCCTTGCCTGGATTGTTGCAGCAGCCAACCAGTCTCCCCATCCAGTATCAGCGTAGTCTCCCTCCGGGCCTGGTAAATATTTATGACAATAAGAAATTCTCCAGGTTCACCAGCGTATTAAGTGCTTTCCTAATCATTACCTTGCACAGGGAATTAGGAGACCTCGGTTCTAGCCTAGTTCCAAAGCTTGGAGTGGTCTTGAGATCTTTCATGGTCTGGAAAATGGAGATACCCAAGTTCCCGTCCAGCTCTAACTGCTCCCTGGTGCCGGTCTTCTGTTCCAGACGGACTGCCACGCTGACGTGAGCGGCACCATCTACGAGTACGGAGCCCTCACCCTCAATGGGGATGAGTTCATCGCCTTCAAGCAGTATGCTGGCAAATACATCCTCTTTGTCAACGTGGCCAGCTACTGAGGGCTGACGAACCAGTACCGTGGTAAGAGCCCACCCCACCTCCCCTGCTCTATTTGGGGCCGTTCCTGCCAGCTGGGAATATTTCGGTCACAGGCATGTTCCTGGTGCAAGGCGGAAGGGCGTGACAGGGATCCTGAGATTCCAGACCGTGTGTCCCCATGCTGTGTTCCATGGTTTGTGAAGATGATTATCTAAGCCTGAGATCTGCTGGCCTTGGACATGTTCTAGAAGACTCCCTGTTATCCTTCTTCATTCCTGTGCACCTCAACTGCCCTAAAAGCAGAGGGATGGAGGAGACTGGGTTATTCCTGAAGTGTCCTTTCAGAGTAAGAAGTGGTAGCTTTGTCTTGCTGAGAATTTCTCGCCTGCCTTCAGCCCCCCGCCCTCAGCACTTCTCGCCCCTCTCTGGAAAGCGGGCAAGGGGCTCAAGGCAGTTCACCCCGGTTCTGGGAACGCTAGTGTCCCCACTCCTTTCCTTTCAGCTGGGCAGAGTAAAGAGGGACCCTGCAGGCCACAAGCAGCTGACACCACCCGGGAAACTCCCCTGGGGCCGAACAGTCAGCTGGGGCGGGGGTGCTGGAAGGAGGCCAGGGCAAGCTGGATGTTCCGGGCAAATTCCTGCAAGTGGAGTGACGGCAGGCTGGATGGCTCCGTGGGCAGGGGGTGCTCTGTCCAGAATGCTCCTGTCGGGCCCTTGGGATAGAGCAGTGCGGTTGTGCAGGAGTAGGGTTGGTACTGGCCTTGTACAGAGGCCAAGGGGCACCGAGGGGGCTGGGCCAATGCCTCCCTCGGATCCCTGAATTCCCAGAGTAGCGGAGGGTGTGAGGGCCCCACCCCACTCCAGGGAAGTCTTCTGCCTTCTCCCAGGGATGGGTAGTCCTTGCTCCAGGAAACTCAGTCCGGAGTCCTGCAGGAGCCCCGCCCAGGTGGCTGAGCTTGGCAGTGGGCAGGTGCCTGACTGCTGATTTGAGGAAAGGTATTACTTTCTTTTCCCCCAAAACCTCCAGCCCATTCAGCTTAGAGTCAGGAGGAAGGGCCTTGAATCCCAGCACTGACACATTCGCTGAGTGATCTTGGGCAAGCGCCCGTCAGAACTGGATTTCAGTTGCAGGATGGGCAAGCAGGTGGTGGTACATTGAGGCTGGGCTGCTCACCAGCCACCCGGTCTCTGCTCTCTCTCCCTGGCCCAGAACTGAATGTACTACAAGACGAGCTGAAACCATTTGGTCTGGTCATTCTGGGCTTCCCCTGCAACCAGTTCGGAAAGCAGGAGCCGGGAGAGAACTCGGAGATCCTGCCTAGCCTCAAGTGAGTGCTCACTCAGCGTCCAGCCCTCCGTCCCAGCCCAGGCTCCAGGCATCTCCTGCATTGGCTCCTACTCACGATGGACATTTATCAGCCCCCAGGAACTCTTCTCCCTTTCCAGGAACCCCATTTAGTGGACTGAGGGGAAGAGGGGACAGGGTCAGGCGGGCTGGTTGTAACTGCATGATGGGATGGGAGGGTGCATGTATGTGGCAGGGTTACTGAGAAGGTACCAAACTGGAAAGAAAAGACTGCAGACCCATGTTATGCGAATGCCCTGGCAATATCCATTGGCTCCCTGGCCCACTATGGAATTAAATCCAGATTCCCAATACCCCCTGCCCTGTTCTATCCCTTCCTCTCATTTATGAGCCCTGGGCCTGTCCATCTCCTTGGGACCCACCTAAGAACATTTTTCCTAGGCATGTACGACCCGGTGGGGGCTATGTCCCCAACTTCCAACTCTTTGAGAAAGGAGATGTCAATGGGGAGAAAGAGCAAAGTTTCTACACATTCCTGAAGGTGAGTGCCCGGCCACCTCTGCAGGCGCTGCTCCGCCCCGTGCCCCCAGCTCTGGACAGGGCTGCAGCCGCCCCGCCAGTGCAGAGACAGAGCCTGGGCCTCCCGGCTCTCGGCTCTCGGGACTTTCTTGGCATCTGACTATCGTTCCAACGACAGGGCTTTGCACACCCTAGGACCTCATCAGCGCATCTGACAAATAAGGCCCAAGGCAGGGCCCCAGAAGGGACAAGTTAAGGGTTTCACAATCTGCTAGAGCCAAAGATGGTTCTGAGATCATCTTTGACTTCCTAAACTGGTACTCTTTTCTTAGCAGCAGGCTGTTCCCTGGCCCTGGGGAGGGTGGGAGGGGCCCAAGCAGGGTTAACCTGGCTCCTCCCTGTTCCAGAATGCCTGTCCTCCCACCTCAGAGCTCCTGGGCTCAACTGACCGCCTCTTCTGGGAACCCATGAAGGTCCATGACATCCGCTGGAACTTTGAGAAGTTCCTGGTGGGGCCAGACGGCAAACCCATCATGCGCTGGTACCACCGGACCACAGTCAGCAACGTCAAGTTGGACATACTGGCCTACATGAGGCAGAGAGCAGCCCACGGGGTCAGGGGGAAGTAATTGAGGCCTGCCCCACCCCACATCCACCACGCGGGGCCCGGGACGGGCTCTGCTCAGGAAGGAATCCATTTCTCCAGCCACACCACACTCCCACCCTAGACCCCTTCCTATTATATAAGGCCCCAGCCTGACACAAAAGTGTGCCTACAAGTCTGTCTGCACTGCTATGCATGTGGGTGTTTGACCACACGCCTACACGTGTGACCAGATGTGTGAGTGCACTGAGTGTGTACAGCCATGTGTGTACCTGCACAAACACCCAGGTATGTGTACCAATACATGTGCCCAAATCGGGGTGCTGTGGAGAGTGCTAGAGAAGAACACCCCTTCTCTCCAGTTCTCTGCTCCAGTGATAACAATTCACTTGCAGCTGAGCCCAAAGAAAAACCAGCTCTAGATCTAATTATTCTGCTCTGCCTGGACCTCAGCTTTGGGGCCAGCATCTCCCACTGCCTCCGAATACCACCACCGAAGTGCCCGGAAGTCTCTGGGTCCACCACGCTGTCCAACTTCCCTCCTCCATTGCCCAGCCTCTATCCTTCCTGAAGAGCCCTCCCAAGCCCCTACCCCCCACCCCATATTGCTCCCTGAACAGCCAAGGCTGGCGTGAGAGCAAGGGCCACGTTCCCCATGTCAGGAGTGGCATCTCCATGAAGGAGAGGCCCGAAGCCCTTGTGGGCGGACCTCCCATGAGCCTGTCTGAAGGGCCAGCTCTTAGTACATTCAGGCTGAGACCCCCAGGCAGGGATGCCACCCCCGCTACTTCGGAGGATGTGCCCTCACCCCTCACCCTGGCCCACTGGCATTAGACTCACCCTGTCTGTCCAGTAAAGGCCTTTCTGCAGCAGCTGAGCCTACTGTGGTGCTTCCTCAATGGGGCTGCCCCAGCTGGGATAAGGGCGCGTGCGGGAGGCAGGAGGAGGAAGAGAAAAGACGGAGTGCTTCAGCCCTTGCGTTTTGGTTTCTGCCTAGGCCCACTCTGCGTCTCTCACTCAGCATTTGGAGTATAAAACATCTGTTCGTGTTCCCTTCCACCATTCTCCAAGGCAGCTAGGGCTGAGATGAGGCGTTCCATTCGGCGGATGAGGAAACGGAGGCTCATGGGAGGCCCAGGCCTTGCCCCATGTCTCCTGATGACAGAGGTGCAGGACTGGAGTTTAGACCCAGATCACCTGACTCCAAGCCCAGGCTCCTTCCACTGCCCTGATGCCCCACCCTCCCAGGGTCTCTAAGCAGGACCCCAGGGGATATCAAGAGATGGGAAGACAGAGGGGACAGGGCACAGAGGGGAGGGAGCAGGACAGCAGCACTCTGCTTGACTGGGAGGGAAACATTCACCGGGACATCAAAACACGTTACAGAATCTTCCACTTGGATTTATTCCAAGATTCGTGCAAAGAGCTGCCCAGGGACGGACAACCACCCCAGTCCGGGCCGAGAGCACCACAAGCCTCCAGTGGCGGGGCCGAGGGCCTGGCAGCTCCAGGCTGGGCCCTCGGCAGATGTGGCTGGATGGCCTCCATCCCAGGCTGCGTGGCGCTAGCAAGGCTGCCGCTGACAGGTGGAGGTGTTCCTGGAACACCCTGTCCTTCTCTTCTGCTCCCAGAGGCAAGCCTACTCTTCCTGCAGCTCCTCCCAGAGGCGTAAGGCTGGGCATGCTCTAGGTCCTGCTACTACAGAGCTTGAAGCAAAAAATTAAACACACACATGAATTGAACATGGTCCCCACAGAGGCTGGAACCATTCTGGGGAAGTTTTGAAAGAAAGGAGTCTCAGGTGCACCCCCCTCTTGAGAGTGACGTCCCCTGGCGGATTCCACAAAGGATGCCAGGTCCTTTCTCCACGCAGGCAGGCAGTGAGGTTTTTTCCGGTCACGCCAAACGAAGGGTCCAGATGGAAGCCTTCCGGGTAGACCCTGCCCAGTCTGTGAACAGTTTGGGCTGGGACAGGGCACACGCTGGGGGCCCATCTCAGCTTCCTGTCTGGCTCAGACTCTGGCCACACAGAGCACGTGCCCTCTAGTTTTTCGGAAATCTGAGGTCAGCTGGCTCTGCAAGTCGAAGGTGGAACCAAGTGACGTAATCTGGTCTCACTGAGGCACCTTGCGGTCATTGTTTGTGGAGTCTAAACAGAAAATTGAGGACTTAAAGATGAGGTGGTACCGTAGGTTTCAAAGTCCCATGGGAACCAATACAGTAACAGTGAAAGCCATGCTGGAGTTATTAGGCGTCACTGAGTGCCAGGCCCTGGGCGAAGCACCTTAGGGACATTCATCATTAAATCCATTCAGTTCAGCCCTAAGAAGCAGGCAGACTGCTATCCCTTTATGGAGGAGGGAGCTGGGGCACAGATAGGTTTTAAAAAAACCTGCCCAAAGTTCCAGATCTTGGAAGTGTTGGAGCCCAGTCGGTCTAGCTCCAGATCCCAGGAGTGGAGCAGTTCTGGAAGAGGGGACAGCCCTGCCCTTTTGTCCACCCTATGCCCCTCATCAGAGCAGCCTCCGGAGGCTCCACAGAACCTCCAGGACTCTGGGGAACATGAGAAAAGGACTGAGCAGCCCAGTCCCTCCTCCCAGCCACTAACTCCTCCAAGCACATTCCCTCCAAGCTGTCTGTAGCCTTGGTTCACACACCTTTGTGAAGGGGCCCACCACCTCCTGGCACAGCCCACTCTGTTTCTGCACAGCTGAGATCCTTCCAAAACTCTCTACTAGGGGACCATGCTTACCTGGTTCTGCAGGCCTAGCCGTAGGCGTGTCCATCACTTGGGAGGTCTGATTGCGCATCCCTCCACAGGGTGGCCGCCAGGTGTATTCCGGCTGCAACAAAACCGGTGCTTAGTAACCAACAACCAAAAATTACAGTAGCAGCCAGGCTGGTGTGGTTCAGTGGTTGAGCATCGACCCATGCACCAAGAGGTTGCCAGTTTGATTCCCGGTCAGGGCACATGCCCAGGTTGTGGGCCAGATCCCCAGTCGGGGGCTGGGGGGGGGGGTGCATGCAGGAGGCAACCAATCGATGTTCTCTCTCATCGATGTTTCTATCTCTCTCTCCCTCTCCCTTCCTCTTTCTCTAAATATCAATAAAGAAAAAGAATTTAAAAAAAAAAAAGAAAATTACAATAGCAGATACCATGCCAGAACAGTACTAAATAGATATTAATCAAGTATACAGCTGTCTCTTGGTATCCTCAGTGGGTTGGTTCCAGACCGCCTCCACCAAGGACACCAAAATCCAAGGATACTCAAGTCACTTGTATGAAATATTGTAGTGTTTGCATATAACCTATGCACATATACTTTAAATTATCTCTAGATTATGATAATACCTACCACAATGTAAATGCTAGGTAAATCGTTATACCATATTGTTTAGGGAATAATGACAAGAAAAAGAACCTGAACCCGTAGGCCTAACTGCATAGCACATGTCAGCATCAATGTAACATTTTTTTCTGAGTGTTTTCAGTCCACAGATGTGGAACCAGTGGATGTGGAGAGTCGACTATAATCGAATCCTTACAACAATCCAGGTTGCCACCCCCATTTTATAGGGAAGGAAACTGAAACTCAGAGGGGTTAAGTAACTTTTTATTTTCTTAAATAATTTTTATTGATTTCAGAGAGAGATAGAAACACTGATGAGAGAGAACATCGATTGGCCGCCTCCTGCATGCCCCCCACTGGGGATCGGGCTCACAACCTGGGCATGTGCTCTGACCGGGAATCAAACCAGCGACCTCTTGGTGCAGGGGTCGATGCTCAACCACTGAGCCACGCCGGCCGGGCGTTAAGTGACTCTTTAAAGGTCAACCATCTAGGAAAGGGGCCAAACTTCTACTAGAATCCAGGTCTCTATAACCCTCTTAAGTCCACACTATACTCCAGTGTTTAAAGACGTGTGAAAAGAACGGCCACAGGGAGAGAAGCTGAGGACAGGTGGCTGGGAGGCTGCTGTTACTGTCCACGTGAGAGTGGGGGTGCCTGAGGGGGTGTGGCAGGGGGCTGGAGAGGATGGGACAGGTGACAGCAGCTCTTTGGAGAAAGGTAAGCAAGGAAAAGAGAAGAAAGGGAGGGAGGGGAGAGAGGGAGGGAGAGAAGGGAAGGGAAGGGAAGGGAAGGGAAGGGAAGGGAAGGGAAGGGAAGGGAAGGGAAGGGAAGGGAAGGGAAGGGAAGGAAACTGGGAAGGGAAGGAAACTGGGAAGAGAAGAGGAGGAGAAAAGGGAGGATGAGAACATGGAGGGCCTGTGGCACCTGACCGCTTGTGGAAGTTCTAGGAGAAAGTCAAACACAAACTCAGACACCTGGGCCTGGGTGCTTGGAGGGCGGCCTCCTTGCTGCCCCACCCCCTTTCTCAGCCTTTTCTGTCCAACATCAGTGACCTGAGCAGCTCTGGGCTGGAGCCCTGCCCTGGGACACCTGCCAGACACCGCAGGGCTATTAGGAAGGAGCCGAGGGTGGAGCTTCCGACACCCTCACTGGACCTGCCCTCTGGGACGTGTCTGGGTGCCTGCGTGTCCTGGAGTGAAGGGTACAGACTCACCAGGTGGTAGAGGCGCGAGTTTGGGAGTGGGGGCGGGTGCTCCATGGCCATGGGGGGCGGGGGGTAGCGGATCTGGGACCATTCCTCAAAGCCGTGATGTGGCATCATAGCTGGCATGGGCGGGTAGGCGTAGGGGTAGGCCCCACAGAGGCGCTCTGGGTGAGGCTCCACGTGGTAGCGCTCTGCCGAGGCCTGCAAGAAGGGCCGATGTCTGGCTCTGGCCTGCGACAGGCCATCCCCAGTGACACGCACCTCCTCTCTCATCCTCTGTAATTTCAGTTCTCTGAAGGCTGGTACATGGGCATGGACAGGGAACGCTGATACATGGGCACAGATGGCTGGTACAGGGGCATAAAGGCTGGTACATGGGCGTGGATGGCTGGTACATGGGCACGGATGGTTCGTACATGGACGTGGATGGCTGGTACATGGGCATAAAGGCTGGTACAGAGGCACGGATGGCTGGTACATGGGCATAAAGGCCGGTACAGGGGCACGAATGGCTGGTATATGAACACAGCTGGTACCTGGGCACAGATGGCTGGTACATGGACAGAGAATGCTGGTACACGGGCACAGAATATCAGCAGTGATGACCGCCGCTGTGACCTGAGCACTTACTCTGTCCCAGATCCTGCTCTATGCGCTCTATCTGCATTGCCTCCTTAGTCAGATGGGCACCTGAGCAAACATGCCTCTCCCATCAGACTAGCTCCCTGAAGATTGGCGAGGGAAGGGCTGCTTCCTCCCTCAAGCCCCCTCACCTTTGCTTTCCTCTTCTGCTGCTTGAGGGCTTCTTTTGCCTTCTCTTCATCTTTGAAAGCTTTTAGCTAAGAGGAGGAGGAGGAAGAGAAGACTGTTGGCCCAGGTGCTTCCTGGCCAAGCCTGGACTTAGGCTTAAGCAGCTTAGGATTGATTAGCGGATGCACAGGGCCACCAGTCCGGGCTGTCCTGCCTGGCAGCCTGGGGAAGGGCCCTGTGGGGCGGAGCAGCCCAGGCCGGTGGCTACAGGTAAGGCCTGCTCATTGTGGGAGGTCTGAACTCAGTGAGCTCACTGCTTCTGTATTTCCCTATTAACAATGTTTAGGTGCATTCTGCAAGAGACTGGGGGGACTCAGGCCCAATCCTTGAAGTTACTCTTTAAAGGCATCGAAGGTGTGGAAAGCCAGAGTGGGCAGGGGTGGGAGGGTGTGTCTCACTGGGTACACAGAAACCTGGCAGCAGAGCCGGAAGGAGAAGCAGTGAGTGTCCTGACATCCAGTCTCACTAGGGACCCTCCAATCCATGCCCCAGTCCCACGAGGACAGACCA